ATTGCCTAACGGCAACTGCGTCACCCAGGAGATTGCAACTGCAGAGATAAGAAGAGTCATTTCATTGTATGGAGAGGTCACTTCCTGGTTCTCATGGAGAAGCCGTTTTCAATGGAGCCCAGCAATGGAAGCACATAGCTGTATTGAGGCAGCACCCGGTGTTGAAATTTTGTGCTTCCTAACAATTTTGCACCCGGAGCAACCACCCCTGTGCCCCTCCCCAACAGGCACTGATGGAGTGTACATTCAACAACTTGGAAGTTGTGTATGTATACTGAAAATGTGTTTGTATTTATGTTGTACTATTATGTTGCATGGCTCCCTTGGGCTCTTTTGGAATAAGTAAGAACAATAAATTAATCCAAATATATAGTATTGCTATTATTATTATTATTATTATTATTATTATTATTATTAATCAGTTCAACACCACGGTCCATAATACAACACTAGCAACATCACCAGGGCTGGCAGACACAGATGAAACAATGGGACCCATTTTGCTGGCACAGTTGATGGCAGAATCAGGCCACCAGTTGAGAGAATTGCTGGATTTCTTCCTTCCCTCTTCTTTGACTTCACAGTTGCAATCATATCTAACTGTGCAAGCCGGTCGAGTCATCCCTTCCATTCTTCGCATTTCCCTTTTCGTGTGTGTCGGGATAATGGTAAAGGATTATCGCCAGCAGCTGTAAAGAGAAAATGTTCCCCGTTCCTGGAAATGGAAGTGGTGCTGAAAAGCTGCAATCAAAATCGATTCTGCCTGAATTCATCACCATCTTGCATCGCCGGAGCAATTTGGAGGGGGAGGGAACGTAAAGGCTAGATAAGCACTCCAGAAATGTCATTTCTATAGAATGCACATGAATAGACAAGATGGTTCTTTCACCACACAAACACACAACGCACCCCTACTTCTCAGGGCAAGTTGTGTAATTGCTGCTATCAAGCAAAAAATGGTAAAAAAAGCCTTACAGTACTTGCAAGACTCAAAAGTGCACTCTTCCACTTTATGTTTGTTTGTTTGTTTGCTTGCTTGCTTGCTTAATTTATTATTTCCCACTTTTCCTCCAAATAGTTCAGGGTGGCATATGTATTCTTTGGAAAGACAGGTGTACAGGTGTAATGAGAGAGAGAGAGAGAGAGAGAATAATCATACAAAGCCATAGACAGGCGTAGCAACTCACTTAAAACACACACAAAGAACCTACAAGGTAACTTCTTTTCAAATTAAACTCATAGTCTGGTTTATTTGTTAACTGTTAAATTGTCTCCCAAACACAGTGACACAATGTGATTGATGGAAAAAATACCCTGATTGTTGTTTTCAAAGTTATGGCTTACATAAATTTATAGGCTTTCTTTCACATCCGGCAGTCAACTGAAGGAAACACACATCAAAAGGAATAAAATTACAAGGTCTGAGGATTTCGGCAAATGGTTACTCAGTGAAAACAACAGCATTAACAAATCAGATGTAAACAAAGTGGATCAGTTCCTCCTCCCTGTCCCCATCTATGTGAGGTCAAGAAGTATGAACAGGGCTTATTGTACAATGTGTTTTTAATGCATATTTCAAGTTGTGTTAGGAGCAGAAGGATAAACCTGCCTTAAAATCAGAAGCGAAATGGTCTCATCGGCATTGTTTCTCTCTCCCTCCCTTTACTTTATCTCTTTATGAATGCCTGAAATAAATACAGTAGGCTTTAGAATGGATTGACAATTTAAAAGGAAAAAACCTCACCCCACCTCAGTATAATGCACAATAAACAAAGCCTCAGGTGAAATCAAAAGCTGCTTTACTCTATCCAGTTTTAGCTGCTCAATATCCTTCCATTGCAACCAAATAAAGCCACAGAACAAACAACCGAAATATGAAGAAACCCTCCCCAAATCTCAAAAATGTGCACGCTTCAGTCATGAAATTGCAATCATGCAATAGTCAAGTTATACCTCCCCCCCCCTTCTTTCAACCATTGAGGCTTGATGAGAAACAGGACAATGCTTTGTACAATAATGTCATGCCAAAAAGACTACAAAGCTTGCGGTTGTTTTTTAAAAGGGAGATCCGATTTTTCCTAATTAATAGCACCAAGTGACTAGCTGCAGAAGGGTTGGAGGTGCACTCTCGTAGTGAAGAAGACATTCATTTGCTTGTTCATTCGTTCATTCATTCCAGGAGACTCAAAAGTGGGAATTTCTGTTACCTGTTTCATAGCACCAAGTGGTGGAAGCAGGCGAAATTCCCTCTTGTGTGCACATGGTTTAAAGCTACAGAATCCCTGTGCTTGCTGAACCTCACTTGGCTCCCTTTCCTCTCATTCAGAACCCTTCCAAATGTCTTTTTTTATTGTGCATTCATGACTGTTTGTGCTCGCGATGCTATCGGGGCAGTTACACACAATTTCACTTTCATTACCGTTTGCACCAGCAAAACCATCAGGACAGGCTTACTGCTTCATTGCTTACTGCCCATGTCCTGCAACTTCCCTGCTGAAATCCTGTAACTTTTCACACCACAAATGTTCCAGTTTATCTTTAGTCTTGCTTCTGTTGTGCTATAATGCAAAAGTGCCCCTCTAGATGCCAATATTGCAATGGGGAAACATCGCAGGGCAACTCATAAAGCAGAATGCCAATATCGTGTTGCAGAACACACACACACACAGTGAGGGGGAGCCCTCTGTAGTCCTCTGACATGTGGGGAAGGAGATCAGTGATGGCTCCGACCTGGTGGAATGCTCTGTCCCATGAGACCAGGGCCCTGCAGGATTTACCGGTAAATGCCTTCCGCAGGGCCTATAAGACAGACCTATTCTGCCTGGCTTTCAATTTGAACTTAGCCTGATCTTTTATTCCCCTTCCTTCCCTCCCCCTCCCCTTTTTATGAAGACCACCCGCTCTGGAATCCCACAGCTAATTCTCCCCTGGTCTCCTCGCTGGCCCAAGTGGGACTAACTTAGCCAGCTAGCCCTGGTGATCATCTAATGTTTATTGGATGGATTTTCCCCCTAAACTGATTTTTGAATTTATTGTTATTCATGTTTTATACTGTATTTTATGCTGTTTTTTGTTGCATCAATTAAGTGTTTTAAATTTGTTGTTAGCCGCCCTGAGCCCGGTTTTCTGGATCGGAAAGGGCGGGGTATAAATAAATTATTATTATTATTATTATTATTATTATTATTATTATTACCACGCAACCTATTATATAACAGGTATTTTGTGATCCATGGATGCACCACAGAGCAGCCAGCATGTCCCATGCCGTCGAACATTACTGGAAAGCAACCCTCCAATTCAAGTTCTGTCCGCTGATAAGCCTTTGGACATGTTTGGTACGTTTCACAGTGACAGATACACATGGCAATAAATACCCATCGGCTTACACAGAAAACATTTATGGCTTTCTAAAGGGAACCCGAGGGCTGCTGCTCATGATCCAGCTTCCAATTGAAGGATCGATGCCACGGGCCGCTTCCTGTGCATCAGCTGGCCGCATGAACCATCCCTCCACCACCACAGCCGTATCACGAGAAACAGCTCCCAGCTATAGCAACAACACTGACGCCTGTGTTATTTATTTACAATATCAGGTGCGCTCAAAGCTTTCTATGCATTTTGCTAAGGCAATGGTTTTCAGACTGCGTCCTGCACCACTCCGCTTGCACCTTCCAACGGGAACCAGAACCAAAATAGTTCTATGCTTTGAAGGTGAAGGTCCTTTTTTTAAATCCTTCTTTAACCCTAAGGCTGTGGAAATGGCAAGCAGACGGAAAGTGGTTATGGGGTGTTTAGTCCACAATAAGTTGTTTGAGAGAGCAAACTGGCGGGAAGAGGAAAGAGATGTGTATTATTTCAAGGACTTCTGAACCCTGATCTTCCTGCCAGTGGTACTTATGGAAAACTAAAAGTGAAAAAGAAGATTTGCAGGCAGGGTACAGAAACAACGACCCTTTGGCCACATCCGCACCACACATTTAAAGCAGCTTCTCTGTTTCCACTTTTTAACCCTCTTTTCTCTCTTTATCTCTATTGTCCCTTTCTCTTTTTCTATTGCTTCTTTTTCTTGCCTTGCAACTAAAAGGTAAAGGGACCCCTGACCATTAGGTCCAGTTGTGGCCGACTCTGGGGTTGCGGCGCTCATCTCGCTTTATTGGCCGAAGGAGCCGGTGTACAGCTTCCGGGTCATGTGGCCAGCATGACTAAGCCGCTTCTGGCGAAACAGAGCAGCGCACAGAAACACTGTTTACCTTCCCGCCAGAGCGGTACCTATTTATCTACTTGCACTTTGATGTGCTTTTGAACTGCTAGGTTGGCAGGAGCAGGGACCGAGCAATGGGAGCTCACCCCGTCACAGGGATTTGAACCGCCAACCTTCTGATCGGCAGGTCCTAGGCTCTGTGGTTGAACCCACAGCGCCACCCCACTTAGGCAGCTATAATAAAAATCTTATTGGAAAAAGTAAATAAATAACCCACATGGCTTCCCGCAAAGAATCCTGGGAACCGCCGTTTGTTAAGGGTGCTGGGAATTGTAGCTCAGCGAGGGGGTAAACTGCAGTTCCCAGAATTCTTGCTGTGGAAGCCTTGGGCTTCAAATGTATGGAGCAGATGCAGCCTTACAGTGTTTTTCTTGAGCATCCCCTGATGATTGCTAGCATTGTCACACAAGGACATTGGCACTACACCTTAAGAACAACGGGTCTAGATCCTCAGCTTGTCAAGTACGCTCAGGTTTGGTGCGTTCCCGGAGGTGAAATAAGGAATCGTTACAGTGATGTGCTCTATTTCTGGCCTAAAACCACTAGTCAATGTGCTGTTCCTGTTTGTCACGGGCTCCAAGGCAGGGTGTGGGTTCCTGCGGTGGAGAGAAGGTCGGCTTCAACCCAAACGGCAGCCACCCTACAAGGCTGGGCTAAGCGAGGGAGGGTGTCAGAAACCCCAGCTCACGAGGAACAACGCAAAGCCTTTGAAGAAATGTACAGTTATCAAACATTATTGCATAAATCTCTCAACGTCGTTATAAAAAAACACACCACTCCGCCCTCTCCGACACAGATTGCGCTGTGCCAATCCACACGGCCGCAAGTCTTTTTCAGAACGTGGCAGCTGATAACCGTACCACGGGGAATCTTTCAGGAGACACGGATGCAGAAAGGTGCCAAAGCAGCATTGCGGAGACTCTTCCCCTTACAAAAAAACCAATTGTGCAACTTGGTTCTCGAGACCCAGGGCTGCCGACGCGTCGTCTCCCTTTCTTCCTTTCCTTTACACGACTCGGGAGAAGAACTGAACTTCCTCGTGTCCTGACCCCTCAGCAGCAAGTGCAGGCATCCGTGTGCACCCTCAGAATGCCTCTGCTGTGCATATGGAGGAAGTTGAAGATTTCTGAAGGCATGGCGTGGAATCCCGGGCGAGGTTTGACGTTGTCGTAGTAATGGTGGGTGATAAATATCCCTGAGGGGTTCATGGGGAAAGCCCAGAATCCAAAGAGGTGCACTTCCTCGCACAGCTCCAAGGCCGCCGTCACCAGGATCAGGCCCGTGCTGATGCGCTTGGCGCGCACCCCTTGAGCCAGCCAGTAGCGCGAGACGTTGATCAGGTACTGCGGGTGGAAGAAGTAGACGGCCTGCTGGGACTCAAAGTCGTCCAGGACGTATCGGACCCGGGTAGAGACGTCCGTGTTGCGGGTGTTGTAGAAAGCCGGGAGCAGGACCGAGGCGTTTTCGTACACCTGCAAGACCTCGAAAAAGGGCTTCCTCCACTTCTCCAGCTTGTGGAACCTGATGATTTGGGAAGATTAAAGGGAGAGCAATCAGGGAGACTGGAGAGCCACAACTCTCGCAACCGCGGCCAACGCTAGGAACAGCTTTGGGTTTTCTGCATCCTTTTCCAGGCAAAACAGCAGCAGTATAAGAGAACCAGATAACAGATTGGTAGGGTGGCCCCAGTGGCGTAGGATGGGAAGGGCCGGGGGCCATGGCCCGGGCGCAAATTTCTGAGGGGGCGCAACCAGGTGCGCCCACAACAGGCTCCCTCATTGAGGTTGGAGCTGTGGGGAGGAAAGCAATGCCCAGACCAGGCCTTCGGACTGGGGTGGTGCTGCCTCCTCTTCATGGCCTGCGAAGGGACAACTGTGCGCACCCAACCCCTAATAATAATATTAAATTTTATTTATACCCCACCCTCCCGGACTCAGGGCAGCTAACACCAATAAAATTCACAGTAAAAACATAATAGGGGGGAAAGAGAGGGGGGGAACCAATTTAAAATACAGGTTAAAATGCAATTTAAAATGCAGCCTCATTTTAAAGTAGCTGATAAATCAAGACCATAAGGGGAGGGAAACATAGGGGTCAGACCAAGTCCAAACCAAAGGCCAGGCGGAACAGCTCTGTCTTGCAGGCCCTGCAGAAAATGTCAAGTCCCGCAGGGCCCTAGTCTCTTGTGACAGAGCGTTCCACCACATTGGAGGCCAGTGCTGAAAAGGCCCTGGCCCTAGTTGAAACCAATCTAACCTCCTTGAGGCTCAGGACCTCCAAAGTGTTGTTATTTGTGGACCTTAAGGTCCTCCGCGGGGCATACCAGGAGAGGCTAGCTGACAGGGAGGGAGGGAAGGAGGGGGTGCTGCACCCCCACCCACCAAGGAGGGAGGGAGGAAGAGGAAGCCAGGAAAGCACTGCTGGAGCCAAGTGCGTTGCGCAGAGCGCATCACTGCAAGGAGAGGAGGGCAAGGCAGCAGAGTGGTGCTCCTAGCTTCGCGTATGTCTGTCTTATCTCTGCTCCCAGGTTGGGGCTAGTTTGCAAGGAGACTCCATTGATTAGACACTGGCCAGCGAAGGGACAGACCGCTGCCCAGTCCACCGCATGGGGCGCAACACTTGCCCCGCCCTGGGCACGGGCAACCCACGCTACGCCCCTGGGAAGAATTTAAATGTGGGGTCCCAGAAAGGGTTTCTTCATAGAAGAGGAAAGGGAAAAGGGAATAGACAGCAGACTTTCTCAACCTGTGGGTCCCCAGATGTTGTTGAACTACAACTCCCATCACCCCTAGCTAGCAAGGCCAGAGCTCAGGGATGATGGGAGTTGTAGTCCAACAACAACTGGGGACCCACAGGTTGAGAACCGCTGGAATAGAGGATCAGGCCAATTCAAATTGAAGGCCAGGTGGAATAGCTCTGTCTTACAGGTCCTGCAGAAGGAGATCAAGTCCTGCAGGGCCTTGGTCTCGTGGGGCAGAGCATTCCACCAGGTCGGAGCCATCACTGAAAAAGCCCTGGCCCTGGTGGAGGATAACCTGGCTTCCTTAGGGCCCAGGCCCTTCAAGCTATTATTATTCATGGACCTTAGGGTCGTCTGCAGGACATACCAGGAGAGGCGGTCCCGTAAGTACAAGGGTCCTCACCCAGCTTTCTGCCCTGCTGATGGGAGCCTGGAAGGCCACAAGATGTGGTGGTTCATCAATCTTTGCTTTCCCACCCACCCACCCACCCACTTCTTCCCTACATGGCTTCAGGACTGCAGAGAGCCAGTGTGGTGTAGTGGTTAAGAGCGGTAGACTCGTAATCTGGTGAACCGGGTTCGCTTCCCCGCTCCTCCACATGCAGCTGCTGGGTGACCTTGGGCCAGTCACACTTCTCTGAGGTCTCTTAGCCCCACTCACCTCACAGAGTGTTTGTTGTGGGGGAGGAAGGGAAAGGAGAAGGTTAGCCGCTTTGAGACTCCTTAGGGTAGTGATAAAGCGGGATATCAAATCCAAACTCCTCCTCCTCCAAGAGAGTAAACCCTCTCTCTTTCTGGCAGCATGATGCTCATACTCTAGATATGCAAAAGAAAAACATGCCTGGGAGCGGGGGAGGATTAAATGGGAAAGGCCTCGCCAAATTTAACCTCTTTGAAGTCCTGCTGATTTCAGTGGGCTTGAAATCAACAGGAGTTAAAAGGCCTTCGGCGTGGGTAGACGGAAATATGCATTATATCAAATAAATACAGTATATATCTGTACGTTTTATTGTGAGATCCAAAAACCTGGAGGAGGAAGTAAGTTAGAACGGGTGGCGTTATCGCTAGGTGTCCTTCTTCGTAGCAAAAGAAAGAGGCAATTACCCGGAGGTTGAAACAGAGAGACCTGTCATCACTGAAACACTGGGTTATCAAGAGGTAGGATATATTGTACAAGTTGAAACTTACAGGTATTAGTCCACTCGCCGTATTGAGCTTTTTTGTACACTTCTTAGAGGTGATAGCAATTAAGCAGCACAGAAATGGTCAGAATGACAGTAAAAAACAGAGAGGGCAAACGAGGATTTTTTTTTAGTGAAAAACAGTCCCTACCTATTGTGTTGCTATTTGTGAAGCTCAACATCACAAAAACTAAGATCATGGCCACTGGGCCCATCACCTCCTGGCAAATAGAAGGGGAAGAAATGGAGGCAGTGAGAGATTTTACTTTCTTGGGCTCCATGATCACTGCAGATGGTGACAGCAGTCACAAAATTAAAAGACACCTGCTTCTTGGGAGAAAAGCAATGACAAACCTAGACAGCATCTTAAAAAGCAGAGACAGCACCTTGCCAACAAAGGTCCGTATAGTTAAAGCTATGGTTTTCCCAGTAGTGATGTATGGAAGTGAGAGCTGGACCATAAAGAAGGCTGATCGCCAAAGAATGGATGCTTTTGAATTCTGGTGCTGAAGGAGACTCTTGAGAGTCCCATGGACTGCAAGAAGATCAAACCTATCCATTCTGAAGGAAATCAGCCCTGGACTGCAAGAAGATCAAACCTATCCATTCTGAAGGAAATCAGCCCTGAGTGCTCACTGGAAGGACAGATCATGAAGCTGAGGTTCCAATACTTTGGACACCTCATGAGAAGAGAAGACTCGTTGGGAAAGATGGAGGGCACAAGGAGAAGGGGACGACAGAGGACGAGATGGTTGGACAGTGTTCTTGAAGCTACCAGCATTTTGTTTGACCAAACTGCGGGAGGCAGTGGAAGACAGGAGTGCCAAGCGTGCTCTGGTCCATGGGGTCATGAAGAGTCGGACATGACTAAACAACTAAACAACAACACCTCCTATTGTGTTTCTGAAAAGCCTCTCCTCCTCCCAGAGGGGAGGTGTTGTGAGAGGGGGGCCATTCCCGCGTCAGCAGGGGGGCGTATTTGGCCCCCTGCGTCACTTTCCCAGCTGCCATGCTGCGCCCACCAGGCCAGCCAATAGGGTTGGCTTGGGGGCAGGGTCTAGCCGCATTTAAGCGGCCACGGCAGCCCCGCACCTCATTCTGCTCAGCGAGGCGGCCCTGTTTCAAGACGATGGCATTCATTTGTCTGATCAATGAAATGATGTGTGATTGGCGGCTATCATCAGTTGCATTAGGGATTGGTTGCAGCTGTGAGGGTATTTGGCGGCGAGCTTGGGTGGGGGTTAGGCATTGGAATATGTTTGTGTATTGGAGGGCAGGATGTGGCCATCACCTACCCCTCCCCTTGTTGGGTATTCCGTTAAAGGAATCTGGCGGTCGTGGATCCTGTCCGATGCCCTGCTGGTGGCTAGGGCCATGGCACTGTTGCAGAAACCACCACCCCCCCAATCATTCAGTTTGTACAAGCACAACACACACACACACACTCACACACGACATACGCGAAGTTTCTGTTATAAATTCATAGTAAATCAACCATACATCGGATTTACACTGGTCCACTTTTATTTCGCTCCATGAAGAAAGGACTATCAAAAGGGGATGGTTTCATACAGGACAGTCATAATCCCTTGAGTGTACCAACTTGTATGCAGGAGCCCTACCCAGTTGGCATGCCAACCTTGATGGTCCCAGACAGAAGACCATCAAGGACACAAAGAACTTGCATATGGGAGCAGATTCAACACGGACTGAAACAAAGGACAGTGATCAGATCTTCCCTCTGGGGGCAGGAAACTGCCAACTCCCCTTTGTCTCCTGGAAGTGACTCATGGGGAGGGGGAAAGGAGGAACCAGCCAAGTGACAAGATACTCAGGTTACCTCCACAACTCCTCCCTCAACCCCTCCTTTTTGTGATGTAGTTGTGATGTATTTGTGATGTAGTTGTGATGTAGTCTTAGGGGTGTATTTTGGGAGATTAGCAACTAATAAAAGTTGGAGACTTTTTTTGTTTTGGGCTTCCATTTTGCTTCATGTTGTAGTGAGTGGGAGTCCTGTCATGACAGTCTACAATAAAGATCAAGCCTACAGGCTGCTGTTTTGCTCCAAATTGTCCTGGTTGGTGTCTTTGTTTTTTTGTCCAAGGGAGCCCTCTGATTCCTCCGTTAACAGCACGACCCCGGTGACATCAGGGGAAGCTTCCAGTTGTATTTGCATCAACAAGCTCCTCCCACTGGTTGTTAACCTTTGAATGACTCCCCGCTGAGCAGGGTGGAGTCATGTATAGATTGTTTGATCCAATGCCTAAGCCAATACCACTCACATGCTGTAACCAATAAAGTTGTGGCCTTCTTTAGCCCATTAACCTAAAATACATGTGTCCTTGTGTCTTATTTACCACTGCTGGAGAGTCCTCGACGCACAACAACAAGGGACTATAACTATAAAGTTTATTGGGAGTCTCGCAAAGGCAGATAATTAGCGGATTTATTTGCATTTCTTTTTCTCCTCTCTTTTGAAAATGCAGAGCATCACGGGATATCGTTGTTTAATGCATTACTTATTGGGGATCTTACTTTTTCCAGTAAGGAAGAAGAAAAACATCAGAAAAGGAGCAGGTGAGTTGTAGGGAGGAAGGGAACCTTCTGAACCTTCTGAACACAGGGAACCTTCTGAACACATTTGCCTCGCTGAGAAGAAGGCCCGATTTTGTTCTGATTTCCAGTTGCTATGAAATTACGAAGTCAAGAGCAAGAACCGCCAGGGCTAATAATAAGGCGCCGCTGCTCCTTTCCTGAGGTTTGTCAATTTCACAAAGTCGCAGGGGGAGGAAAGCGTGGGCAGAAGTGGACAAGGAAGAGGCAAGCGACTGACCTTTCGGTGATTATGCTGGGGTTAACCGTCACGACGTCCGTCTTTACACCAACATCTACAACGTATTTCTCAGAAATGGGAGGCAAATTGCACCTGGAAAGAACAGAGCAACAAAGAGGCCATTATTATTTGTCTCCTTCAAGGAGCTAAGATGTGTAGGCTGAGTAGACTGAGTGATCTGGCTTAATGGAAGTGGGATTTCAACCTAGCTCTCCCTGATTCCAAATGCAGTGGGGGGGGGGTTCCCCTTCTGCAGACTGCTTCCTCTGAAAGGAATATCTTCCTGTACCCACTGATCAGCTGGTTATAAATCATGTTCTCAGTGCCGCAAGAGAAATGACCCATCAGGAGAAGCCATTTTTAGTGGCAGCCCTCCATTCTCCACCTCAATTAAGGAGATTTTTAAAACAGGCACTCTCCAGACGTTCCCCTTGGTCCTCTTTCCCACCTAGATCAGTGTTTCTCAAACTTGGGTCTCCATCTGTTGTGGGACTACAACTCCCATCATCCCTGGCCACTGGTCCTGCTAGCTAGGGATGTTGGGAGTTGTAGTCCCAAAACAGACCTAAGCTTGAGAAACATCGCCCTAGATGTTCAGCACAAATATTACCTTTATAGTTAATTCCATCATCCAAAACATTTCAGAAAAGTCAACAATAGGGGCGGGTGCAGCTTGTGATTCCTTAATGTACAACATTGTTTAAAATTACAAAAAAAAAGAGGCCTAATGGCCTCGGTCTAGTATATCTGAAGGAGCATCTCCACCCCCATTGTTCTACGTGGACGTTGAGGTCCAGTGCCAAGGGCCTTCTGGCAGTTCCCTTACTGTGAGAACTGAGGTTACAGGAAACCAGGCAGAGGGCCTTCTCAGTAGTGGCACCCGTCCTGTGGAACGCCCTCCCGCCAGATGTCAAAGAGAACAACAACTACCAGACTTTTAGAAGACATCTGAAGGCAGCCCTAAAAGCTTCTGAAGGGAAGCTTTTAATGTTTGATGCATTACTGTATTTTAATATTTTGTTGGAAGCCGCCCAGAGTGGCTGGGGAAGCCCAGCCAGATGGGTGGAGGTATAAATATTATTATTATTATTATTATTATTATTATTATTATTATTATTTGGAGTGCCTCTTGTGCTACACCCTGAGAAACCAGGTAGGTGATGTGAGCAGTTTCACCCTCTGAACTCTAGGTGGAGCCAGGCATCAGACAGAGTAGGGATCTCTAGACCTTCTGCCTTCAGAGAACTCTGGCCACTTTGGATTTGTATGCTGTGGGGGAACACCAGTGCAAGGGACAGGAGCCAAGGCGAAGGGTCGCAGTAGCTCAGTGGTAGAGAATATGCTTTGCATGCAGAAGGTCTCAGGTTCAACCCCCCACTTCACCAAGTGGGACTGGGGATGTCTCAGCCAGTGGTGACAATACTGAAATAGATGGACCAGTGGTCTGAAGCAGTGCAAGCTAATTTCCTTCCTATGTACTGTAGGTAAGGTAAAGGTAAAGGGACCCCTGACCGTTAGGTCCAGTCGTGACTGACTCTGGGGTTGCGGCGCTCATCTCACTTTATTGGCCGTGGGAGCCGGCGTACAGCTTCCAGGTCATGTGGCCAGCATGACTAAGTCGCTTCTGGAGAACCAGAGCAGCACGTGGAAACGCCGTTTACCTTCCCACCAGAGCCGTATCTATTTATGTACTTGCACTGGCATGCTTCCGAACTGCTAGGTTGGCAGGACCAGGGACTGAGCAATGGGAGCTCACCCCGTCGTGGGGATTCGAACCGCTGACCTTCTGATCAGCAAGTCCTAGGCTCTGTGGTTTAACCCACAGCGCCACCCACGTCCCTTATGTACTGTAGGTACTAAAGGTAAAAATAGGTAAAGGGACCCCTGGATGGTTAAGTCCAGTCCAAGGCAACCATGGGGTTGCAGAGCTCATCTTGCTTTCAGGCCGAGGGAGCCGGCATTTGTCCACAAGCAGCTTTCCCTGTGTCATGTGGCCAACATGACTAAACCGCTTCTGGCACAACTGGACAACATGACAGAAACCAGAGCGCATGGAAATGCCGTTTATCCTCCTGCCACAGTGGTACCTATTTATTTACTTGCACTGGCATGATTTCGAATTGCTAGGTTGGCAGAAGCTGGGACAGAGCAACGGGAGCTCACTCTGTCATGGGGATTCGAACCGCCGACCTTCCAATCAGCAAGCCCAAGAGGCTCGGTCGTTTAGACCACAGCACCACCCACATCCCTGTAGGTGCTACAGCAGTCTTCCTCAACATGGCTCCCTACTGATGTTTTGGACTAGAATGGCCTGCAGGATCAGGCCAATGGCCCATCCTGTTCTCACAGTGGCCAACAAGATGCCTTTGGGAACCCCACCAATCATAGCCATTGATAGCCTTCTCCCCCATGAATTTGTCCAATCCTGTTTTGAAACCATCCAAGTTGAGATCCACCACTACTTGCTGTGGGAGTGAGTCCCAAAGCTTAACTGTGCTTTCTGCTTGGCTTCCCAAAGAAGTTTAGTGAGCTTTTGGAGACTCTGGGTTTTAATACGAAGCTTAAAACTTATTCCCTACTTCTTAAGTCAGGGATCCCTTCCCACTTGCTCTCTTTTACTGCCTGGTATTAACGATAGGTGCAAGGCCCAGTGAACCATGTGTGAAGAAAGATCCCAAATGTTGCACACATACACATCAAAAACTCACGGCAAAACATTCATGCGCTATGGTAAAGGGACCCCTGACCATTAGGTCCAGTCGTGAACGACTCTGGGGTTGCGGCACTCATCTCGCTTTATTGGCCAAGGGAGCCAGCGTACAGCTTCCGGGTCATGTGACCAGCATGACTAAGCCACTTCTGGTGAACCAGAGCAGCGCACGGAAACGCCGTTTACCTTCCCGCCGGAGTGGTACCTATTTATCTACTTGCACTTTGACGTGCTTTCAAACTGCTAGGTTGGCAGGAGCAGGGACCGAGCAACGGGAGCTCACCCCGTCAAGGGGATTAGAAATGCCGACCTTCTGATCGGCAAGCCCTAGGCTCTGTGGTTTAACCCACAGCACCACCCGCATCCCCTTCATGTGCTATACACAACTGCTAATCCCTTAAAGAATTGCACCAAAACTGTTACCGGAACACAAAATCAGCACTGTCGATCTCCCGGCCACATCTGCTGTTCTTCAGAATCCCTCCGTTTCCAACCACAGCACACTTCTTGAACTGGGACCGATAGTACGGCATCTCCTAGAGAGAAATAGAGTAAGCCGGTTCATTAGCAGTGGCAACCCTCGCAGGAACTGGTTTTGTTCCCTTGGATGAAAGGATGAAACACAGTTAACTCTGGGCTCACACATGCACACACAAGTATGGTGTTTCCCCTGTATCTGATTACTCTACAGCAGGCTTCCTCTAACTCGATCCTCCAGATGTTTTGAAACTACTATTCCCATCATCCCTGACCACTGGTCCTGCTAGCTAGGGATCATGGGAGTTGTAGGCCAAAAACATCTGGAGGGTGGAGTGTGAGGAAGCCTGCTCTATAGTAGTGACTGGCAGTGCAATGGATGGACTGACTCTGCAGGAAAGCTCTGCTGTTGCATTTTAGGTCATACATTAAAAAACATCCATGTTATTAGATCTTAGTGGCCTCATTCCCTACCCCATCATGACCAGCAGCGACCAGGACACTGAGTTGGCAGCTAGTGTCCCTGGCTAAGGAGCCAGGCCCCGATTCCCAGCTCTGAGCCTGAATTCTGGTGATCAGAGCCCAACTGAACCCAAGGCTGTCCCGTCAAGATCCCAAGGAAACGAGCTATCTCACCAGTGCAGTGGCCTACGAAGGACACAAAGGCGGGAGGTCATGGAGTGAAAGAAAAGTGCTGGTTTTCAGGCCAGAGTTCTGGACCCTTGAGACGTAGACTGGATGCACAAGTCTCAAAAGTCCTTGTTTTACCCACCCCACCCATCTTCCACCCCTCTCCCCCTTTTCTTCCTACTGTCTCAACAAATGAAACTGATTTGTAAAAATGTTACATAGAAAAAATACAAGAGAGAGACATTACACATACTTCAGTAAATCAAGAAAATCTTTAATAAAAATACCCCCAAAAAAGTCCTTGTTTTATGATGGAGCAAAGTGCTCACTAGGAGCTCTCCATGGTGCTGAAGCAACTAAATCTGCCTTGCCTGTTGTCTTCCTCCACAGGAGCAAATCAGAGAATACAGTGGTACCTTTGGATGCGAACGGGATCCGTTCCGGAGCCCCGTTCGCATCCTGAGCAGAACGCAACCCGTGTCTTCAAAAGTTGGAGTCAAACTCATCCCTGGTTTACATGGACAAACGATCTGATGCATTAAAAGGTAAAGGTACCCCTGCCCGAACGGCCCAGTCTTGCCAGACTCTAGGGTTGTGCGCTCATCTCACTCTATAGGCCGGGAGCCAGCGCTGTCCGCAGACACTTCCGGGTCACGTGGCCAGCGTGACAAGCTGCATCTGGCGAGCCAGCGCAGCACACGGAAACGCCGTTTACCTTCCCGCTGGTAAGCGGTCCCTATTTATCTACTTGCACCCAGAGGTACTTTCGAACTGCTAGGTTGGCAGGCGCTGGGACCGAGCGACGGGTGCGCACCCCGCCACGGGGATTCGAACCGCCGACCATCTGATCGGCAAGTCCTAGGCGCTGAGGTTTTACCCACAGCGCCACCCGCGTCCCTTTTCTGATGCATTAGCTTCCTTATAATGCCTGGCACCTCACGGAGATGGAAAGACTTGCTTATGTAAGCATGCAAATGCTGCTATTAGTACATGCATAGTTTATGAGTAATTCCACAACAGTAAAACAAAAATACATCTGAAGGAAACGGTGACATGAAATGCGGTGTGGTTGTTGTTGTTGCTTTTAATGTGATTTATTTATAGCACACGTTACATGGTGCTCATAATGGCAGAAAGCCCAATGGCGCAACGAAGAGTCCTCTGAGATTTGGGGGCAAAGAGAACCACGTTCAGAGATGGACCAGCAACATTGGGTTGGAACTGACATATGGGAAGCAATAACACCAAGGGTCGAACGTTTGATTGATCCAGCACACAATTTAGGAAAAGGGGTTGAAAATAAAACTGCCATTATGGGGATCAGGCTTCAGGCCCCAGGCCCTGTTTGCAGACCAACTCCGTTTTACAAAGATGTCTGCAACCGTGACATGAAGGCTGGTAACATCAACCTTGATATGTGGGGATCTCTTGCAGATGACGGCAGTGCCTAGAGACTGGCAGGCTGTCGTGCATCCAAAACAGTGGACCAGAGGAGGAACGACCGCCGGGAGGAGCGTGGAAAGAGGAGACGCCATGGTGCATCTGCAGCAGCACAAATGGATGCCTTCATCTGCATGGATGCATGACCTGACGGCCTGTCTTCAACTTGTTATAAGTGGCCTTCCAATAGCCTTCCAGACTGCTGATCAAGTCCACCTGCAACCACTTTCTACGATGCTACAGTATTGGCATCTGTCATTCGTTTTATACCTGTAAACCACTTAGAAGCCAACTTGGTAATCTGAATTAATTTAATTAATTAATTAAAGCAACTACTCTATTCCGAACTTAAAAATGGAAAGTGTAATGCTGGTGGCCAACAAAAGAGGTTTAAAGACTGTCCCGAGGCAAATCTAAAAAAAAAATGTAGTATAAACACCAACAGTTGGGAAACACTTGCCTGTAAGTGCTCCAACTGGAGAACAGCCTTTACCAAAGGTGTCATGGGCTTTGAAGACACTCGAACTCAGGACGCAAGGGAGAAACGTGCTAAGAGGAAGGCACGCTTGGCAAATCCACACCGTGATCAACTCCTGCCCAGCAACCAATGTCCCCACTGTGGAAGAACATGTGGATCCAGAATTGGCCTCCACAGTCACTTACAGACTCACTTTTAAAACCGTGTTTATGGAAGACAATCTTATTCAGCTTCGAGTGATCACCAAAGAAGAGAGGAGAAGAAAGAATTGGTTTTACACCTGTAAACCACTTAGAAGCCACCTTCTAATTAATTGAAACAGTAATAATGCAACTGGTGTTCCCAGACCAACCACTGGGCTCACCATAAGGAGCAATGCACTGTATACGTAAAGGACTTTGGAACGCTTAATGTGCTATATAAATGCTAAGCACTGCTGTCAGTCAGTCTTTCGGGGTCACTATTGGGCATCATCTCGTTTTCTTAGCTATACACCAGAAGCAATTCTGCACTCATCCCTGCTAGAGAATACTCGGCTGTTGATCAGTCATTTTCCACATGGATATGATACTCCCGTGATGTAAAGCTGCTAAATATAAACTAAGCTGCCTATCAGCTGTTGCACAGGAATGTGATGGCAAAGACAGCAGTTGGCCTGCGATCAGAACAATTACGCAGGAAGTCATTGCAGCGCAGAGGATGGCAAGATTGCCACCCGGCGCACGCCTCTGAACAGAAACAGCATCTTGAGATTTTGTTAAGTCAACAACATGTACCGCACCTTTGGAAACATTCGGAATATTTCTTGATTGATGTGAAAGATGCCGCTTGTGTCCACTTCGTACTTGAGTTTGGTTCCCAGAGGAGTGTTCTTCTGGGTGGTGAAGAGGAAGGCTGGGGCGTTGCAGCACCTCGACAGAGTAGCCCTAAAGAAGGAGAAACAGGATTACATGGGTCAAGGCAGACCCTCGACCCAGGCAAACACCGAGTGTGGCAGGGAGCTGTGAATCAGCTGCTGTTGATGTCAACGTTGCATGCATACAACACTGTTTCTCCAGCAAGCTCAAGGTGCCATGCATGTGGCCCCTGGCCAAATTTTATGTGGCCCTCAGCCTAATTTCAAAAGTCCTCTGGGGTGAGAGAGAGAGATCTCTCCTGGCACCAGAAGCCACCTGGGCAGAGGAAGAAGAAGCAAAGAAAGGGGGCAATGAGGGTGACAGAACAGAGACAGGCACCACTTTATTTCTCGCTGCCACCACCCAGGCCCTAGCTGGGACAATACTGAGTCCAGTCAGGGTTAAATTGGAACATAAACTTTTGTTTATTTATTGCAGCTTAACAAGCGTGTGGTTTCCTAAACGGTCAATTACAATCATGGGGTGCCTATCCAGACCTATAAGTTCCGCTACCTGCTGTCACTCACTAAACCACCTCTCAGATATTTACTTGTCTGCCTAGCCCCTAACTGTTCCTGACTCAGCCTATTTCGCTAAACCAACTCAACCTACCCACAGACTCTATCCCAATTCACTCCCACTCTAACCAACCACCCAACTCCCAACAAACTCCTCCCAGAACTGGTTTTATAGTCCCTCTGACTCCACCCCCCCTGGGCCCTGATTGGGTAACCTGTTTAACTATTTCACCTTCAGCACTCTCATATGTTAACGTCACAGAGCCCCACCCGCTTTTTGCTTTGGCCCTGCCACCCCATGTTGCTACTGTGAGCAAATATCTTCCATCTTTTGAAATACGGATACAGTGGGTGGACGCCCTGTCAGAGAAACTAAACACACCAAATCAGTCTCTACTATAAAAGGTTTTTCCTATCCTACCCCACCTCCCTACAAATATGCCAGACTCCACTGCCCTAAAGAATCAACGGCTGAAAATCTCCGAGGGTGCCCCAAATCCAAAAATCCAAGAATCAGCCAATGCCCTAAATATCCTTTCCTGGAATGTGGCTGGCTGGTCTAGATGTTTATCTCAATCTACAGATATTCCATTCTATTGCCAAAACTTTAACATCATTGCCCTTCAAGAGACATGGCGGAAACTCCAGTTCTGGAAGGTTTTTATGCTAATGCAATTAGGGCTGTCCAGGGAAGACCCGGGGAGGCTAAAAGGGCGACTTTCATCTTGATTTCTCAATGTCTAAATGCCACCTGTAAAGAGCTGCCCTCCCTAGACCAACTAGCAATGGCCTTAGTTATATCATGGGGAAGATCTAAAGTGTTAGTTATAAAAAAACCTTCCATCTTGCAAAACCAAGAGCAGCTCCTGCACAATGCAACAGCCAAGAGCGGTTCTTCAGCCAACAGTGCTTGCTGAGGTCCTACCACCCCCGAGTTGAGACACCTCTTACTTGAACTGTCTGGCTTCGGTGATGTTCATCTCCCACTTGCACATCTGAAGGTTCTTCCACCTTTCAAACAACTCTGTCTGCTTCACCCTAAAAGCGGGAAGAGGGAGAAAGGATCTTTTAATTAAACTTAGAGAGTGGGTCCAAGAGGCTATCGACTCCCAACGCAGAAACCAAGTTTGCCACTGCGGTGAGAACTAGCCTGAGGTGGGCAAACATTTCCTTGATACATAAATCTAGGGCAGCCCCCAATTTTATATACAGGTATTATTAACTGCCATTTATATCTGGTTCAACAAAATAGCACGGAGAATGAAAATAAAACAAGGGTCTTTCCATTTAAATTTGTCATTTCTGGTATCTCATTAACAATTAAGTGTGAGCTATTTTTCTGCATGCTATCAGGCTCCTTTTCATCTTCTACTTAATTATTATTAAAGCGCTGTAAAGCAAGCCATGATCTGTATCTGCCAACAGCCCTTTTCCCTTTCTGTTGTTAACACGTTCAAGAAAATCACCTCACCTTCTCATAAAACTTGTCACGTCTTTTGTTTTTGTGCCCCAAATCTGAGAAAATGAGCTAACTCAGTCATCGCAGCAGATTCCCAGAGTGTTATCAACTGACGCTTTAATAGATAGAGTTTGAAGAGTTTGGATTTGATATCCCGCTTTATCACTACCCTAAGGAGTCTCAAAGCGGCTAACCTTCTCCTTTCCCTTCCTCCCCCACAACAAACACTCTGTGAGGTGAGGCTGAGAGACTTCAAAGAAGTGTGACTAGCCCAAGGTCACCCAGCAGTTGCATGTGGAGGAGTGGAGACGCGAACTCGGTTCCCCAGATTACGAGTCTACCACTCTTAACCACTACACCACACTGGCTCTATAGATAGTGCAAGTGTCAACCTCCACTTCCTTGCAGAAGGTAATCTTAACGTGCAACCAGCATGATAAGAGACCAGCTCTGTATGCTTGTGCCCTCCCTGATTCCTCCACTTCATTTAATTAGAGGAGGGAAACCTCACATGCCAATATTGCCAGATGCTGTGCACCTCTGCCTCATTGTGGCTACCTCTTGCTCGCTTGCGAGACAGAGCCAATGGCTAAACAGGCAGAAGGAGTGTTGCCTCCTTTCTCCTCCTCCTTGCCATTGCTGCTGTTCACTTCCTCCTCTCCTCTGGGCAAAAGAAGAAGAAGACAAGTTTGGATTTGATATCCCGCTTTATCACTACCTGAAGGAGTCTCAAAGCGGCTAACATTCTCCTTTCCCTTCCTCGCCCCAAAACCAACACTCTGTGAGATGAGTGAGGCTGAGAGACTTCAGAGAAGTGTGACTGGCCCAAGGTCACCCAGCAGCTGCATGTGGAGGAGCGGGGAAGCGAACCCAGTTCACCAGATTACGAGTCCACCGCTCTTAACCACTACACCACACTGGCTCTAAGACGAGTGAACAAGCAAGATGCCATGGGGATGATGAGGAACAGGTCCAGGGGACTTCTGTCAGCAGAGTGTGTTTCCTCAACAGTGGCCCTGGGGCATTTTGCTTGTCCCAAAAGAGTCCTTGCCTTCTATAGGCCCCTCCAAGCACCCATTTCCTTGTGTGTTTATGATTATTCGTGCTCACAGGGTGCTTATACAGATACTCTTTGGCACCTGCAAAAGTATTGATGATTGATTTTATATTCTGCCCTATACCCGGAGGTCTCAGGGCGGATCACAGAACAAAACCAAAACACAAAACCACAAAATATATAATCAAAATAAAGCCAACAACCCAATAACCACCCCCGGGGGGGGAACATTTTAAAAGGGCATAGGACGCCAATCAAATCAACCAAAGGCCTGGTTAAAAAGGAACGTTTTTGCCTGGCGCCCAAAGGTGTATAATGAGGACGCCAGGCGAACTTCCCTGGGGAGAGCATTCCCCAGATGGGGAGCCACTGCAGAGAAGGCCCCGTTCTCATGTTGCCACCCTCCAGACCTCTCAAGGAGGAGGCACATGAAGAAGGGCCTCAGAAGATTATCTCAGGGTCCAGGTAGGTTCATATGGAAAGAGGCAATCCTTAAGGTATTGCGGTCCAGAGCCATTTAAGGCTTTATAGGTCAAAACCAGCACTTTGGATTGGGCCCAGAAACTAATTGGTAGCCAGTGCGGTCAGACCAGGATCGGTGTAATATGCTCAAACAGTCTTTCTGGGTGGTCATACTGCTTTGTTTCAAATCAATGCATGTCCCGCAGCTGAAATAATGTAATCTTTATACCACAAACGTTCCAGTTTCTTTCTTTCGTTTGTTTTGTTGTTGTTGGTTTGCTATTGTTGTGCTGGAGTGCTAGAGTGCCCCTCCAGACGGCAAGAATACAGTTATCGTCAGGTAAACCTTGCAGAAAAACTAACAAAGTAGAGAGATGTGTGGATGGTCCAGTATGAATCCATCGCTAATGCAATACTATTGCATCAATGACATATAAAACTCTCCAATCCTCAGGGGCCCTTAGAAAAAACAAAAACATTTCCAAACCACCCAATGCAATGCCTTTGAACTGCAGCAGTTTGTAGTACCCCAGAAGAAGTCAGGCACTCCAAAACCTATGGGGAAAGTTTTTTTATATTTTAAAAAAGGTTTATGCCAGGATAGCAAGCCATCCTCTACACACCCTTCACACATTTGTCCAACCTTGCCTCAAACACAATGAGCTTCCTCCCTCCCTCGCTTCCCCTCCAGAGAGAAGGGGTTTAATATTTAAAATGGGGAGCAATTTAGGATTTTCCATAAGTCACTCTTCAAAGAAGTAGGTCATTTTGTACTTGAGACCAGCCGAGCGTGATAATTTTGAAATCTTTTCGGGGCACAAAACAGAGAATGGGGGCAGGCGGGGGGGGGGGATTCAGAAAGGAAGCTAGAAAGCCACAGCGCAACTTGGGAAACAAGGGCACTTCTCAGTGGAGGGGCTGGCGAGAGCCAACTATGCCAAGTCAGCGCAACTCTGCTATGCGGATGCCAACGCTAACTGCTCTTTAATCCAACCATTTTCACCTGTCCAGGGCGTTACGGATAATGGTTTAACTTCCTGAAATGGGAATGTTTGCCTATGCATTCTTAGCATAGGGTTTTTCCTGTGGCAGTAGCTCTCGTGTGATTGGCTGGCTGTGAGTCACATGAGAGAGGCATTCCATTCTGTTGTGACTGTTATTCCGGTAACTGTCGTTTTTTAACTGTTTTTCTGGTCTTCTCCCTGTGTATGTGAGGGAGACCGGCTGCTGAGAGAGGTTTCTCTGGATGCTGCTGAGGACAATGTTGTGTCAGTGTGGCCTCTCTGGGGTGAAGCAGACAAAAGAAGATCCCTAAGTGTTAATAGGGAGAAACCTGTGTTCTCTATAAGGAACAAAGTGAATAAGCTTGAGAATGTAGATATGTTCTTCTCAGTTATATGTTTATGAAAGTAAAGTTCCTTTTGAATATAAAGAATCTGGACATTGCATATCATCAGCATTTATTTATAAGTATACAGTGGTACCTCGGTTTTCGACCGTCTCAGAAGTCGAATGTTTCGGTTTTTGAATGCTGAATACCCAGAAATAAATGCTTTCGTTTTTGAACACACCTCAGAAGTCAAACGGCTTCCGCTGAGTGTTTCTCAATTAAATTTGCAGATTGCCCTTTGTGCCTTGTTTTTCAAACGTTTCGGAAGTCAAACCGTCTTCTGGAACGGATTACGTTTGAAAACCAAGGTTCCACTGTATACACAACACAGGGCTGTCTCAATGCCTGAGAGGACACATGGATTTTTGTTTTTTTTTAAAATGCCTGCTATTGGCTCCCTCCTAAATTGGCCACATGAGGAAGCCATTTTGTTTTCCCATCAATGATGTATTTTTATCTATTTGTGCCCAGTTGAGATGACATATCTAATTCTTCTGATTTGGATTAAACGCATTTCATATACATGAGGCTAGTTGCCAAGGGAAAACAGCCACACGCATAGGAAAGGGAAGGGAGAGGAGAATAAAAATCAAAACTCAGGAACAAGGTAAGCCTGCAGCTGGAGTCCAGGCAGGTGTTGGGTCCTGCCTGAAAGCTGGAGTGTCAAATGCAGGTGTCCAGACCTGCCTTCGCCATTGTCTCCTGCAAACATGTTTGCCCCTGCCTTATCATTGCTTAGCAAGCCTATGTTAAGGAACAAGGTGCAAGGTTTCCCTGAGCTCTGTACCCGGATCAGGGATATGAACCCAGGTCTGCCTGGTCAAAGCCCATCAGCATCACTCACAATTGCTTAAGGCTGGAGAACTAAAATGGTGCGGCCCCACTTACATCGAGAGAACCTTCACCGAAATGATATCCTGCCTCAGCTCCAGGCATTTTGTGGAGTTGTACTCCAAAGGACCTTCATAAAACTCAAAGTACCTGGAGAAGAAAACAGAAAAGAAAAATGCAATCACTAGCTGTTTCAGAAATAGACACACACACATGCATGCATATATATATATATATATATATATATATAATCAGGTCAAGTTGTATTTGGACTGTACCAGGCCCAGCTCTGAGGAGCATATTTTCAGAAGGAAATTGACAAACTGGAATGTGTCCAGAGGAAGGCTGGTAGGGGGCCTGGCAATCAAGTCCTGGGAGGAATGATTGAAAGTGCTGGATATGTTTAGCTTGGAGAAGATTAAGGAGAGATACGATAGCAGCCTTCAAATATCTGGAGGGCAGTCGTGCAGAAGGTGATGTGGACCACTTCTCTTTTGCGCCACAGGGCAAAACTTGAGGTCGAAATTGCAGGGAAGTCGATTAGGAGAAACTTCCCAACATTAAGAATTGTTTTTGACATTAAAACAAAATGCATGGGAAGTTTTATTTGTTGGTTTTGGAATCACAAAGGCATCTGCTGCCCCGGACTCCTGTGGGAGGAAGGGTAGGGTATAAATTTAATACATACAGTGGTACCTTGGTTCTCAAACACCATGGTACTCAAACAACTTGGAACCCAAACGCTGCAAACCCGGAAGTAATTGTTCCAGTTTGCGAACTTTTTTTTGAAGCCAAATGTGCTCTGCTTTGAGTGTTATGCTGAGGTCTGTCTGTTTTTGCTATTTATTTTGCATTTTTGCGGCTCTTTTTGTTTTGTTTTTGTGACTGCGTGGAACCCAGTCCAGCTACTGATTGATTGATTGATTGATTGATTGTGTGACTGCAGTACATTGTTTATTGCTTTCATTTCATGGATCAATGGTCTCGTTAGATAGTAAAATTCTTGTTCAATTGCTGTTTTAGGGATTGTTTTTAAAAGTCTGGAACGGATTAATCTGTTTTGCATTACTTTCTATGGGAAAGCGCGCCTTGGTTTTGGCATGCTTTGGTTTTGGAACAGACTTCCGGAACGGATTAAGTTTGAGAACCAAGGGACCACTGTAAACAGTAAAATAAAATCAGGGAGTGGGTGGACTCTCATTTACTGGAATTATTAACAAAGATGGGTATGGCATACCCATTCCTTGAATGCTAAACCATGATGATGCCTTTTGACTGCCGGAATGGAGGATGGAGAAGTGTGTCTATATATAGAAGAAACCTCTGACATTTACATGGTTAGAAGGCAGCCCACAAATGTAAGAGTTGCACCCATCGCTCTGCCCAATTCTGCCTCAGGCCATCCCTCGCATATGGCCCCCAGAAGTCCTCTCATGAGGGAACATGGCCCTCCAGCTGAAAAGGTTCCCTGTCCTCTGGTCTAGATTATCTCCATGACTGCTTTCAACTCTAAAATTATATACTGTATTTTTCACTCTATAAGACACACCAGACCACAAGACGCACCTAGTTTTTGGAGTAGGAAAACAAGAAAAAAAATATCCTGAATCTCAGAAGCCAGTTTAGCAAGAGGGATCGCTGCACAGTGAAAGCGGCAATCCCTCTTGCTGTTCTGGCTTCTGGGATAGCTGCGCAGCCTGCCTTCGCTCCATAAGACGCGCACACATTTCTCCTTACTTTTTAGGAGGGAAAAAGTGAGTCTTATAAAGCAAAAAATGCGGTAATTTTGTGGGGTGGGTATTTCCAAAGTTGGGTTAGGGGGTACCACCACCCAAATTGTTGTGGCTGAAACTGCAAGGAAAGCAGATTTTGCCTAAACCTTCCCCACCACCACCACCTTATCATGAAGAAGGGTTACAGATTACAACACAGACAGGATCAAACACTGAAAATAGGGCGCCCTCATGAAGCCATACAAAATCTAAATTTAAAAGCAGGGAAGCAGGCAGCAGTCAACTGATGTAGACTAGACGCAGACGGGAGATAAAGGCAGCCCAAGGCTTTGCACCGAAAGCTGGAAGGCCACAGCTCAATGGCAGCGACAAGCTCTGTGTGCAGAAGGGCCCTCCTGACATTCTTCACTTAATTCAGCCTTCACCAATCTGTAGTGTGACCTCTGGATGTTTTGGACTACAATTCCCATCAGTCTCTGCCAATACGGAAGCCTCCTCACAAAACATATACTGTAGAGCTGTGAAAGGGGTTCAGAAAATGGCAACCAAGAGGGCGAGGGGATAGAACAACTCTCCTATGGGGAAAGGCTAGGGGGGTGATTTTTAGATTAGGGGGGAATAAAATAAGGGGGCAATGGGAACATGATAGAAGAGTGTAAAATTGTGCATGGTGTAGGACTGCCATATTTCTGGGATTTCCCGGACATATCCAGGATTCGTCCGCCGAAAATAGCATCCAAGCAAAATTCCTGAAAATCGGTAAAAATGTCTGAGGAAACCCAGGCATGTGGCTGTTAGAATTCCTGCTCCATGATTGCAGTCATGGGATTGTTATCTTTCACATGACGTGGTATGTTTTGACTCCACAGAATGGGAAGTGACAGAGACAGGATGTTTGTGTTACTGTGTTCCGTGAAGTGGGACTGTTGTCCTTTGTTCTTTCTCTCTTTGCTGTCTGATGGTAGAGAGAGAGGGAGCCATGTTGCAGTGCTCCGGGTGTGTTTATATGTAAATAAAATAGATTAGCCAAAATGCTGAGTTGCTGAGGTCTGTTACGCATGATGCGCAAAGACTCTGCAGATCCCTAAGTGTGCCAGTGTCGGTTGGCATCAGTCGCTGTGATGTTTGGAATGAAGAAAACTTATGAAGCTCCCAAACGATCAACCAGGAGGGAGAGAAGATGCCAATCGGGCATGTGTCTCTGCCAGGGCCCTACTCAAGTGTAAGCTGAACTCCTGACAATGGCAATCCATAATGGATGGGTGTTTTTGGTGAATTTCCTTAAAAAGTAGCTCAAAAACTCAACAACTTTGCCAAAAAAATAATAATCTCAACAACTTTTGTGTCTGGATTTTCACTTATTGAAATATGGCAACTCTAGAATGGTGTGGAGAGAGGAAAGATGGAGAAGTTTCTCTCCCTCATAAGTCTAGAACTTGGAGACGTTGAAGCTGAGCGTTGGAAGACTCGGAACAGACTCTCTTCACATAGTGCATGGTAAACCACAAGAGTAAGTGATGGTACCAACAAGGGTGGCTATAGAAAAGGATTGGGCTTATTCGTGACGGACAATGACTGTGCTCTACCTTCACTGTCAGAAGAACAATGCTTCTCAAGACTGGTTGCCAGGAATCCCAAGTGGGAAGAGCACTGGGGTGTTCATTTCCTACTTGCATGTGGCATCTGGTTGGCTACTGTGAGAATAGGAGGCTGGACTAGGTGGGCAATGGGCCTGATCCTGCAGGGCTCTTCTTACATTGAGGTCAGTGCAACTGGAGGGTGCCAGGCTGCTGAAGGTGGAGTTAAAAAGATACAGTAATGTGCTAGGTGATACAAAAGAAAAAGAAAAAAACCACGTGGTGAAGCAGGTAGTAATGAGCTACAAATGAGAGTATGACCACAAGGAGCCTTGAGTTTAATTTAAGGTGGGTAAGAAAGGAAAGGGAGGAGGAGGAAGCAGAAAGAGATGGAGCAACAGAATGAGTGGTGGAAATAGGAGGTGGCGAACGAATGGAATTAGCTCCGCTAGGTGGGATGGAAGAGGGAGAGAGAAGGGGATGTCACAGAAGAGGTCCACTGCTTGCGTATCACTTGCCATGGCCTCGGACCTGGAAGCATCAGAGGCAAGAGCTCTCCAACAACGGCAGCCCCAAGCAGATGGATTTGATTCCTGGTCTATCGTATGTCCATCCAATGTACTGGCACGGGCACCCACAACTCTCCAGAACCCCATGAAGACCTTTGCCCCTGAATGACTGGAGAGACCTTTATGAGCTATCCTCATAACCTGGAACCTCAGGGCTTAGAAGAGGCCAATGGATGCAGAGGGAGGTAGTTGGTCAGATTTGGAGGGAAGGGCCTCTAGCCTGTGAACGCCTCTAAAGATCTGCCAGATGCTCTAAGACAAGGGTGGCCAACTCCCAAGAGACTGTGATCTACACACAGTTATAAACTGACAGTGATCTACCCCCTTTTTTGGGGTTCGGGGTTCGTCCAGTGATCTACCAGTAGATCACGATCTACCGGTTGGGCGTGCCTGCTCTAAGACACTGCTGAGACAACTTCAACTGCAGGATCACTGTCCATGGTCCTGAAACACACTCCTTCGTCCCTCTCCAAGGTGCTCATCATGCCATGGCTTGGAGCAGGTGAGAAAATCCAATGAAGAACCCCTCCAAATGACTGCAAGGAATGGGGAGGTTTGCACAAGAGAAGGCAATCATTGAGATAACTTTGGTCCCAAGCCGCATAGGCCTTCCTAAGTTGAAACTAGCACTCTGAACTGAGCCCAAATAAGCAGAGGGCTTTGACAAAATCACAGAATTGTAGAGTTGGAAAGATCATCTACTTCACCCCCTGCAATGAAGGAATCTTTTGCCCAGTGTGGGGCTCAAACCCACAGCCCTGAAATTTAAACTCTCATGCTCTACCGACTGAGCTATCCCTGCATTGTGTGCTCCTACTCAGGATTTCAGCAGTGATGTTCATGGACTTGAATTGGTTTAAAAGAGGATTAGACAAATTCATTTAGGAGAGGGTTGTTGATGTCTACTAGCCATGATGGCTAGCGTGATGGTTGGAGGCACCAATGTTTCCAAATACCAGTTACTGGAAACCACTGGAGGGGAGAGGGCTCTTGTGCTCAAATCCTGCTTGAGGGTTTTCTATAGGGATCTGACTGGCCACTGTGAGAACAGGATACTGGACTAAATGGACTACTGGCCTGATTCAGCAGGCTTTTTTTACATTCCAACCTTCCAAAGCGATGGGAGAAACAGAGACATTTCCTACTACAAAATGTTATAGCCAAGATGATGGGGTGGGGTGGCGGTGCTGGACCAGTCAGCCGTGAAAGACAAATAAATCTTCAAGGATGACGTCCGTCATTCCCTGGCTGTGCTATCTGCAATTCCTAAA